TTAGTGATTTATTTTGTGTTCATTTCGTTGTTCTAGGTGCTGTTCCAATCAAGAAAGAGCTGTTAATCGCTATCGTAGTTGGTGTTCTAGTACTGCTGGTTTTCATCATAGTTCTCCTTATTGTTTGCATTTATAAAAGGAGGTAAGAATAGACCTGAGATATTTTCAACAGCGAAATGGACACATTACCGTTCTCACGACATACCACGATAACAGCAAAGAAACAAAATCCTTTTCTTGAACTGGACTTAACATATATATGCGTGATAAGATACTGCCGTTGCGCGCACGTGTGGTGGATCTATAGGAACTGGACGAGCTCTTATCCTCCCCCTTTACCACTATCCTCAGCACTTCCATGCATATAAATCCTCATTATCCTCTTTTAAGGTTCTGCTACAGAGTAATCAATTGTCTTGCTTTCCGATGTGTTACCTCCAGAGGAAGCTAACATCTTCATTTCTTTGCAGTAATAGCTATAACACCAATTTCCACGATGTCCATACGATTGAGGATTGGCTGGGTAGCATCAACATGGCCCGGTATGCAACACACTTTGCTAACGCTGGATATATGGACCTTGGTCACGTGAAATCCCTTGAGGAAGAAGATTTGTCAAGAATTGGTGTCAAGCTTATTGGCCATCGAAATAAGATCAATAAGAGCATTAAGGCGATGAACAAGCAYTTTGAAAGTCTGGAATCCGATGATTCAGAAAAGCAAACCTTTGTTTGAAGTGGATATATTGGAAATAATACTTTKGGATTATAAGAAGMAAGCTATCAACGTCACRCGTACTCAAGARATTGTATAAGTACATTGGATAAAGATAGCATGGTGATATGGAGTCATTGGTTGCATTAGAAAGCATGAAGTAATAATGTTGGCTTTAAGTGAGCAACTAAGAAGAATGATATGGATTTARAACTAGAAATACTTCGGAATATAAAGAAAAAGCAGGATTAGTTTATATATTGCGTTAATTATGAAGACAAGACATGGAACATTAATGAAATTACTGAAGGTTTTCATTGGATTTAAAGAAAAAAGTTGCATTACCACAAGAAAAAGCTGTTGCTATATATGGCATGTGTGGAAGAAACGAGGACCTTCTGTTATTGTTTATGCATCTACAGAGGAGGAAATCTCCTAAGTAAAGTTACTCCTAAGTGTTTTAGTCACTCCTAAGTGATACTCTGATCTGAAGATACTCTGMAAGATTTTTTTGCATGTTTATCAACGTTGGATTAAACCAAAAGAAAAAAAAATACTTCTAGTTTAGAGCTCGTTGCTGTTGAATAATGGCGTTTCAGTCTGTTTCAGTTGGATATTATTTTTGTGTACAAAGCAGGCGCTTCAAGCGGAAGCTGGCCGCGGAAAAAATGGTCGAGAGAAGCCATTTTGGCTGGAACCATCTGTTTTGTAGATAAAATATTTTATTTTGTTGTATTTCTCAAGTTAAGAAGGTAAACCCGCTGTGCGAGGTAACCGAAGACGTTCCCTTTAATCAATGGATTTTATCCAGTTGTAGAAACTATATAGTGAAAGGTTGCCTTGGCTACACGGAAGAGGTTTTCAAGAACAATAAGATATAACGATAAATTAGCAAATATTTTAATAATTTAAATAACAAARTATTGTATATAAAAATATCAAAATCGTTCGTGCTTATACATTTCTATAATAAATCACACAAACTAATACAACAAGTACGGTACGGCCTGCCGTATTACATGGAAGGTAAAATTATGACTAATGAGCCTCCTCCACTGAGCTACTCCTCGGAGCTCCTGTGTCACTTTTTGTCAAAGGCCATGTACAATGAAAGACTACTAGTCTTGGTGACCAGTTTAGATATTATCTGTTTTTGAAGGCCTCTTCCAACTATTACATTAGTAACGTATAGAACGAGAAGCTTTGAAGTTTCATTGAGAAATGTAGAAGGGTTAAATTTAAGTATTTCATGCACTAAAAAATGCCTTGTTAAGGTATATAATGGTTATCTCAAATCCATGCACAGAAAAACAGGCATTTTTACATTGTGTGTATCTTCCATGATAGTAATATGTGTTGCCGAAGTAAAACGATGGAAAATTTTAATAAAAATGTGCAACTTTAAAGACGAATTCATTCATAATGTAATTAGTGTTTCTGTGTCATTTCATATTAGCCTCGTCTTCAGGCTTAGCTCGGGATGACGTCACTTCCCTAAGCCTTCCTCGTGATTGTCGGATTCCCCAGAGGCGTTACGCCGTTATTTTTTGATTGATTGAGTCCATGAGGCTAACTTTATGGATCACAAAGATCAACAGTTTGTCCTAAACGATCTTAGCCTTTTTGCTTTCCGCCCGCTAAATGCACCTGGGCATGTATTTATTAAGAAATACTTGAAACGAAGAAACTTAAAACAATACAATCAGTTCAAATCACATACGGTCCAGTCGAAACAGACTGTCCGGATAGTTAGTCACTTTCAAAACCTTCCTTTAACAGAACCTTAAAGTTGCTAATGCCTGCGCTGATTAGAAAATAGGAAAGAAAGGAACTGGAATGTAATTTAGCACTTCATATTGATCATTTCACGGATCGAGATGAAGAGCGCATTCTCCTATAGCCGCTCCGCGGATTATAATCTTGAGTACTGTATTGCGTGACTGGTTGACATCGTGACATGTACACGTCTCGGCAAGAGGACTGGCAAAGTCAAAGAGGAACTACGCGTGCCCTCAACGAGGAAAGTTGTTCCCTCAATAAGAAAAGTCATTGCCAAGTAATGAAGAGATAGATTGGGGATAATCTAATGTAATCAAGGTAAATTAATTCCTTCTCGTTTGGCTTCTTTATAGTCAAAACCCTTCTCAATGTTACTGAGGATTTTAAGGTTATTATCTAAATTGACTTATTTGGTGACATTCAGTTTGTACGATTTACCCGGGATTTAGTAATAGTAAAACAAGTGGTGCTCAAGTCAATAGTTACCAAAAAGTGTTTTACGTTTTCGATCCTTTGTCGAATAGAATGTAGAGTTACATAAAGATCGGTTCCATGCAATATAAATAATCTACCTTTCAGTGTGCCACTCTTTCTATAACTGGCTGTGGTGAAATACATAATTTATTAATATTTAATTTCTGTTTAGAGATATTAATTTCGTTGGAAACCCTAAATATCGATTGTTAAATCTGTTCTTATATTTTTTGAGCAAACTATAGATTATTTAGATTTGCTTGTCGTCACAGGATATAGTTGCTGCACAGGAAAAGCGAAACAAAAAAAGAACTGTCATCCAACKTTCGTTTAGTTAAACTTATTGATAATATTAAATGATTCAGGTTTTCTAAGTCAATATTTCTTAACCAATTTATCAGAAAATATTGATTATACAGTTTCTACCCGTTTTACTTTCTGATTCGACTCAATCTACCGGCATTTGTGGGTATTCTTTAAATGTGGTGATGTGCCTCAGTTTTGTTTTTATTAAAATTACAATATAAGCACGTGCTGAAACGTGTTAAAGCGTGTTCGTTTTAAAATCATTTCACTCGCTGTAGCAGAATTTGATATGTTGACAGTGAAGACTACCTATAGGGGGCTGCATGTATGCTTCATTGACTCCTAGACATCTCTCCCTTGTCCCACGAATGTAAGCTCCAATCAAGTTTTTACGCAGTAGGCATTCTCCCCTGGTCCCTGAGCTCCCTTGAACCAGCCTAAAACCTCTGGGAGGTCCTCAAAGTGATCTTGAATGCAGGTCATAGCCCATTAGTTTTGATTGTATTAGCTAATTAGTTAATGAGTCGGTGCAAAAGTGAATGACCGACAAGAGTGATTAGATAAATGTTTAAAAGCATAACAAATGGAAGAAAGAACTGAGTCGACAAATTAATGCTGACACTGGGTTGTCCAGAAKGTAATAAAATCGAAAAGTATTTCCTGATTTCACTAAAACGTTTTGTCTATAAGGTAGTTTTCAAATGATAGGAAAAGTGCAATTTGGCCCATAAGAGAATTCAAGAGTGGTCCTCAATTATTCCTGATTATTGGGGCTGGGAGACATGCACAAATTATACCGCAAAACGAAATGGAAAGCGCTTGATGTGCTGTATGTCTTATTGTTTTTGTCAGCCTTTGTTTCAGCTGAAGAGTAGACGTTATTGGTATTGGTGTTCTATTTCCTTAAATTCTGTTTTCGTATTTTTTTTTTCCTTCAGAACTTTCTTGTTAAGTTTCACATCATCTCTGATCATCATTTCATCAGCACATCAACCTGTTTCAACAAAATACTTTTTATAAAGTATGGACATTGATTAGCTTTTTTCCCAGTAACTGACGTTCTTACTAACATTTAATTCAGGCGCGAAGAGTCCTTTGCGCATATACGCACGTGCGTACTAGTGGGAAGGAAATATTAAAATTTTCGGGATTTGATGCCTTTCATATGCTCTCGACGCATTTCCAATAGTTATTATTTCAAAACCTCCTGTGGGAGGACCCCCCGACCCCCCGACCCCCCTTAATACTCCCGCCTTCGGAGGTCGTTAGTCTCCAATCCAAAATATGTGTCACGGTACACGCCATTTGCGCATTTGCCGAAAAGTCCACGCTACGCGCCTGTAATTACGTCTTTTAAAAATCTACTGTCCAAGAGTTTTTGGGTCTCTTAACTGTTCACTGTTTAAGTAATCAAGCTCCGATGCACATGTCACACGTTTCACGAGCACCCAGGCTATCCTTACGAGCATTGAACTTGTTGACCAGACAATGGCTGGCTTTGTCAGAGGGTCTCMATGGGGTTAACCGTGAGCCGTGAAACGGCTGAAAAATTAGCCAATATTGAATCGACATATTTTTAGTCGGGCGCAGGCCTTAGGCCTGGGCACGACTTTAGTTCTACCTTCTGTTCAATCAATCTATCTATCTATCAACGTCACGTATAGTCCCCCATGATGCTTTACGAACTTAAAAATGGTCACGTGGCCTGATAACACAGGAGACCCAAAGTCACTTAAAACAAATTGGCTGACAGACGGTTGAGACGGCGGCAAAAAGTTGTCTCGTTTTAATTGGGTCTAAAATGTAGCTAAAATACTCTAACGAGCTGAAAATCTAACAAAATCAACTGACTAACATCCAAATGACATGGAATAAGGTATATAATTCAAGGTTGTCGGATGATTCGTGCAGAAATGACTGGGCATTTTCTACCGCCGACAAGAAGAACACTCCCGGGAGAACACTACGTCGCCACAACAAGTGCTCGATGTCAATCACAAAATCCTCAAAAAGTAAGAAATCTCATGAATATTTAAGGTTGATACTTTGACAGAAGAATAATTATTCGATGGACTAAAACATATCAAACCTCATCTGAAAAATATTGATGCCATTTTCTAAGCTGACGACATTTGGACTTGAAAACTGCACGTGTACGTGCTTTACTGAACTCTGTACAAAATCTATATTGTGTATGAAGCATTTTAATTCTTTATTAAAATTTGTTTTGATGATTGTTTAACTTGAAAAACTTACACAAGATCTTACATGATTCAAACGATCAAAATAATTTTCAAAGTTATACGAAACTGACAGAACTGCAAAGACTGTACATATCTTTCAGATATCTTGCATTGAGTATTATAGACGCTCTTGAGCGTATTTTTGAGCTAGTTATTTTGGAAAACTGAGAAAGACATGATATCTAAAGAAGTTAATTAGAGTTAATTAGAGTTCAGTTCTGTAAAAAATTAATGATGTAATAAATAACTTATATTAACTTTCGATGGGATATGTAATTGATGTATGGTATATAACACCAACAAATATTTTGATTACGAAAAAGCTACCGGCTTGCTGTGAGTATGCATGTATCACTTAGGGCCTACATAAGTGTTAAACATGATCGTAGCCCGACGTCACGATCGATTCAATCGTCTAGTTTTAGATTGCTAATAAAGTTATAAAAGATTTTTTTAATTCTTAGATAGTATTTTTGGGATTTGTTTTTGTACATTTTAAAACTCCCGCTCATTTAGTGCATCGAAGACCTTAATTGAGCGGGAGCCTGCGTCACGCTAAGTGTCGCAAGAAACTAAAGCTGCTCGAAATAGAACGTTACAATATTGAATCGACATCTTTTTTTAGATTGCTAAT